CAATATTGTCTTCCAGCACATTCTGAAAATATATTATATAATTTCATAAAATAAGTTCACAATGATAAATTTTAAAAATTTACACAAAATACTTACATTGGTTTTATTTTTTTCTTGAATTTTGAATTATAATATTATATTTAATTACTGTATACGTAGATTGTAATTTAACTTTAAACTAAGATGTAATTCCTGATCTGAAAAACGATTATTTTCTTTTAATCTTTTTGTGATTTTTTCACAAACTTAATGACAAATTTACTATATGCATTTTTAAAGTAAATTTATATTGAAAAACCTATCGAATACTACACCTTTTACGAGTACAGTTCACAACAAAGTAAGCATCATGATATTGGACGCGTATTGAGCACTGGAGTATAATCGATGCGAAGATAAAGATAACAAGTCTTTGATATATATACATACTCATACAATCAATACACCTGATATTTGTGCTCATGCGTATGCTTATGATATATTTAATTAAAGTAAATTTTAAAAAAATTTATGTAAACAAAATAATTAATTATTAGTCTTCTGATTTTAATCTTAAACATTTATAACAGAACGCTAGAAAATTTACATCATTAAATAGCATTTTAGTTAAGTTTTTAATTAGTAATTGATTGACAAACATAATTTACTACCTAAGTAGATGGTTTTAGTAACTAAGTACTACATTATCGTGTACGAGCCAGATTTTCGGGAGTTTGCCGCATGCGCAGTGCGTAATCACCCTCTCTCTATAGAGCAGGCTGGAGCGAGAGAGCCCCCCTACCCAGACCTTTAACCTAAGCCCCGCCTACTTTTCACAACTTAGATATGACATCTTGTCTAGCACGATTACAATCGATGATAGCCGCGCGGACCAAGTCTTTTGCCCCAGCCAAAATTGCCAGCTTACGCATCTCACAGATAATTTTTTTTTTTTTCCATCTGCACAATTTTTATACGTTAGGTTTTTGTATTAAAAAAACATTTTTTTGGTTTGTTGCTTTTTGTACGCTTGGTACATGCGACGGGTTGTCACTATGGACAATTTCAACAAAGCAAAATAACAAATTTTTTTTTTATTAATAAATTTTCGTAAGTCACTTCCAAGCCTAAGGTTAGTATCCCTACTTAATTGAAAAAGCGTATGTTCGATTAAAGTAATCACTGTTTGCTGATTTGAACCAGTTTTGTTGCAATTTGTAGCAGTTTTAGGAGCCTTAGGCCAGTGTTCACTACAGTTGATCATACGCTCTGTTGAAAGTAGAGGTACCAACCTAAGACTTAGCGGTGACTTTCAAAAATCTCACTTCTAAATACACTTTATCAAATAAAATACAAAATAACCATTATATCGAGATCTATCGAATACAGAGGTACCAAAAACTAGGTATTTAAGTGTCTTTTTAACGGTACTTGTATTTTTATCATATTATACATTCGTTACTATTTATTTTAATGATGTCTAAATATTTAATATCTTCTTGAAAAACTTACCAAAAAAAAAAAAAATTTGTTTGTATGAAATTTTGACGTTTTATTTTTTTACACTAAGTCGCAAAGCGTCGAGAGAAATTTTAAGTACTAATGGATTTTAAAAGTACACTATTCATTCAAACTCAACTCTTGGAAAGATTCACCTTTAATTTTCTTACTTAATCAAAGTCACTAAGATAATGTAATCGAGACCTTCATATATTTGAATATAAAAGCAACCATTCTTTGATCAAATATTGTCAAATTAATTATAATTCAAACTCATGCTGAGAGAGTATTACGAGAAATCTAGACAGTTGTCACATTACTAATATTTATACATACTCGAATTTTTCAGAGACATAATTGTAATTTAAAAAACTTCTTAATAAACAGCATTACCGCCATACATTCTACATGATTAATGCATTCAATTTCATGTTTCTATAAAAAAAATAATTACACTCCTATTCTTGATCAGTTTTTTAGACATAAAAAATATATATACACATATATTAAAAATATATTGTACACGTAAAAAAGTTCATATCAAAAATAGTATACTTGGGTAAGCTACATGATACAATTATTAACTTCGCTGTTTTGTGGCCTGTTTCATGTATGCGTATTATATAGACTTGCGTTTTGTAATGTTAAAATACATGTAAATTTTATTGACTGATTAAAAAAGAACGTATAAAATAATATTTCAGCGATGTAACACTCAAACTTACTAATGAGAATGGATCTCTTAATAGTTCTAAATTATTACAATCGCATAATACTGTTCTTAATTATAATAAAATATTTCATTTTATTACAATAAGTTCAGTAATTATCTTTATGAGTAATCTAATATAGATAATCAAACTCTTGATAAGTTTACTATCTAAAATTTCTGAAGCCAATTCCTGAATTTTTTAATTCGATAAATCGTTTGATTAAAATGAAAATGAAATATCCTGCAGCAACTGACATTACTACTATTAAAAGTATCACCCATATGGACATTGATGCCGTTACAGGGGTTGGTTTCCCAGTAGCTGTTGTTATTGTGCTTGATTGTATAAGTGTTGTACTTGTAATGGTTGTAGAAGATTCCGATGATCCTATTGTTGAAGATAAGGATTGAGTCGTTGGTGGTTCTGTAGCTGATGTGCTCGATGTATCAGTTTCTGATAGATTTTTTCCACCTGTATTGACTAGGGGACTCTCTTGATGTTCACTACCAACATTATTTTTCTCTAATTTGATTTCATCTATTTAATTAATAAAAAATTTTACGTAAATAGCTATTAACTTGCTGCTTATTCAATTAAAATCCAAGACTAATTTTCTTACAACTTGCCTTTTTTTAGTGATTCTATCTGAGGATTTTTCAAAACAGTATCTGCAAGTGTTATAGTAGTCACTGAAAAAACTATGAGAAATATCATCAATATTGTCTTCCAGCACATTCTGAAAATATATTATATAATTTCATAAAATAAGTTCACAATGATAAATTTTAAAAATTTACACAANCGTGGTTGGTGGTGTTGTCTCTGGTTCTGTCGGTGACTTTGTTGTAGGAGTATCGCTTTCCGTACTTATTCCCTCCGTTGTCGTTGGTGCTATCGTGGTTGGTGGTGTTGTCTCTGGTTCTGTCGGTGACTTTGTTGTAGGAGTATCGCTTTCCGTACTTATTCCCTCCGTTGTCGTTGGTGCTATCGTGGTTGGTGGTGTTGTCTCTGGTTCTGTCGGTGACTTTGTTGTAGGAGTATCGCTTTCCGTACTTATTCCCTCCGTTGTCGTTGGTGCTATCGTGGTTGGTGGTGTTGTCTCTGGTTCTGTCGGTGACTTTGTTGTAGGAGTATCGCTTTCCGTACTTATTCCCTCCGTTGTCGTTGGTGCTATCGTGGTTGGTGGTGTTGTCTCTGGTTCTGTCGGTGACTTTGTTGTAGGAGTATCGCTTTCCGTACTTATTCCCTCCGTTGTCGTTGGTGCTATCGTGGTTGGTGGTGTTGTCTCTGGTTCTGTCGGTGACTTTGTTGTAGGAGTATCGCTTTCCGTACTTATTCCCTCCGTTGTCGTTGGTGCTATCGTGGTTGGTGGTGTTGTCTCTGGTTCTGTCGGTGACTTTGTTGTAGGAGTATCGCTTTCCGTACTTATTCCCTCCGTTGTCGTTGGTGCTATCGTGGTTGGTGGTGTTGTCTCTGGTTCTGTCGGTGACTTTGTTGTAGGAGTATCGCTTTCCGTACTTATTCCCTCCGTTGTCGTTGGTGCTATCGTGGTTGGTGGTGTTGTCTCTGGTTCTGTCGGTGACTTTGTTGTAGGAGTATCGCTTTCCGTACTTATTCCCTCCGTTGTCGTTGGTGCTATCGTGGTTGGTGGTGTTGTCTCTGGTTCTGTCGGTGACTTTGTTGTAGGAGTATCGCTTTCCGTACTTATTCCCTCCGTTGTCGTTGGTGCTATCGTGGTTGGTGGTGTTGTCTCTGGTTCTGTCGGTGACTTTGTTGTAGGAGTATCGCTTTCCGTACTTATTCCCTCCGTTGTCGTTGGTGCTATCGTGGTTGGTGGTGTTGTCTCTGGTTCTGTCGGTGACTTTGTTGTAGGAGTATCGCTTTCCGTACTTATTCCCTCCGTTGTCGTTGGCGCTATCGTGGTTGGTGGTGTTGTCTCTGGTTTTGTTGGTGACTTTGTTGTAGGAGTATCGCTTTCCGTACTTATTCCCTCCGTTGTCGTTGGCGGTGTCGTGGTTGGTGGTGTTGTCTCTGGTTCTGTCGGTGACTTTGTTGTAGGAGTATCGCTTTCCGTACTTATTCCCTCCGTTGTCGTTGGCGTTGTTGTGGTTGGTTGTGTTGTCTCTAGTTCTGTCGGTGACTTTGTTGCGGGAGTATCGCTTTCCGTACTTATTCCCTCCGTTATCGTTGGCATTTTGGTTGATTCTGCGGTTGGTTCTGTCATGGTTGTTATCTGTGGGTTTGTTGGTGACTCTATGGCAGGATGAGCTATAGTTTTAAGAATATCACTTTCCGCAGTTATTTTCTCTGTTGTCGTTGGCGTTTTGAACGATTTGGCTGTTGATATTTTTTGGTATGGTGTAAAATCTCCATTTTCTGGATTTTTAACTGGAATAGCATAAGCAGCATACATTGCTAACGATGCTAGAGTTAAAATTCTAATAAAAGCCATCCTAAAACGAATATTAATAATATAATCGTGTAAAAAATTACTAATATTAAGTATTTGTCATGTACCCATCATACCTGGACTTGAGATCATAAAATTTTAAATTTACGATAAATATTGTTAATTACATAAAAATTATTTCAACTTTATATTACATAACAGTTAGAAAATAAAATTTTTAACTGTCCTTTTAACTATTATACACTAATTATTGAGCAATAAATATCTGTAAATATTGTTTCATACTATTAAATTGTTTTTAGTAAAAGAGATTTACGTAACTCATTCCAGTGACCTTATTAAAAAAACATCGTTTGTTATCACACAGTTTTATAATTATATAATGATTCGATTTTAATTATGGTGGCAAATCAAAAGAAACATTTATAATATTTATGCCTATAGATTCCCTCTGTTATTTCTAGCATTGACAAATAGAAGATTTCAGAAGTTTTTGTATTAGGTACTTTTAGTAACATGATTTAACGTGGATACTATTATTTTTTATAAACTTTGATGTACTACACTGAAATGTCGTAGCTATAGACCTTCACACAAACCTTATTAACACTTACTTATAAAGGACGATCCGCAGTCAAAGAAAAACAACGAACAAATGAGCCTCAGCTTATCCATTTCTGGAATTTATGAAAACAGATATCGCATCGCAGATTAGATTAGATTGTGCTTTTATTCACGGTTATAAAATTATCAATACCTGTTGCAATATAAAAAACGTGCAAATTTATAAAAAAATTTAATGCGGTTTGGAATATTAACTTGAATACTTAAATACAAAATTTTTATGTGTATTCCAATGTTACATTGATTCATGAATTATCTATAAATCTTCCTAAGATATCATGCAAGCGAACACATACATACAAAAAATTGGCACAAGTATAAATCAAGCAATTGGCATGAGAACTTGACTTTTTTTTTAAGACTAAGTTACAATACGTAACTTCAATTTTTAACCTCACTTTAACATGTTTTCTCCAAAATTTATTTTTACTAAGATCTTGTTATATAACGTACATCGTATTCTATATATAAGAGTTTACATGTTCAGATAATCTTATTTTACTGTCAATACAGCGTTGCTTTGAAACTGCTGAAATTTGGTTTATACCAATTATAGCTACAACTTATTTTTAAGAACACTATGCATTTAATGAAACAGCCAAGTCAAAACGCATTTTGTATACTTTTTTAATAATTTTAACGTCGTATGGGAAAATAATCGTATTCATATCCTGATTTTCGAAACGAAAGTATCACACCTCTCTGCAAAGCCACGTGACTGAGTTAATAGAAACTATTATCTCTGATCACTCTTTTTTTATCACGTTAGTTTATTTATAGTTTCGTTCTTCCAAAGTTAATAATTTAGGAAATAAATTCTAAAACTTTTATTTTATTATCTAAATACATAGGAGTACCATTTTATTGTAAACAATACTTTTTTTAATTTGTTACCGTATCTTACTTTTATTTTTTCTTGATATTATGCACGACGACCAATAAATATTTGTTGCCAACTTTTCTTTTTACTTTACATTTTTTAAAGCTATTTTACGGTTTGTATATCTCAAAAGTTAAATGAAAGATCGAATGGCAGTCAGCAAAAAATTTATTGTATTTTATAATGAGAAATAAAAATACCTTTGTTATGATTAAAAGAAAAAACACCCTTTGCATCTAAATAAATAAATACCAAAAGACTGTCTGTTTCAGAGGAGTCATATTTCATGATTCAAAACTACTTATCATGTATTTTTTGTAGAAACTCATTAATTAGAAAATTAAATTGTAAAACTTTACTGGCGATTTTGAAGCTATCTGATAGTTAGTTTTTGTAGGTAAATAAAATAAATCACAACTTTACTGCAATCATAGATAGTAAAAGCGTCCAAAACATTACTTTGCATCTCTTTTTTAAAGTATGTATGATATTTTTTTTTAATCGTCAAAGGATTTTTTTACGAAAAATCATATACTACTATCGTAACTTTAAGTATTTCAACGAGGATATAGCTATTCAACCCAGTTATTCTATAAATCAGTCTTTAAAACCAAGCATACATAACACATTATTTTTAAAAAGTAGAGGCTAAAAGAGAGTTCGATGTGCTGTGTTAGTGAACCAAGTATGCACATAAATATGTATGTGTGTACACGTAATTTTTTTGTTTTTGTTTTTTTTTTTTTTTTTGAACATACTATCATAATTTAAGTCCTTGTCTTACAACTGACTATGGGCTGACACAGTCACGTTGTATGACTGGTTGCTTCATAGCTAGATACACATTATTTTTTCCATTTAAGTTGCTATCTTTTAATCATCAAAGCGATTACTATCTTGCCTTCAACATCGTCAAAAGTATAAGACGAATTTTTTTTTTTTCATACGATTGAAGCATTCGATTGTGAAACAGAGTAAAACTGGTTGAAACTCATACTATTCTACATTTTCTCATGGTTAAAAATTTTCATTTCTTCACGTCAACATTACCCTATTAGGATACGTATTTTAGTTTAGACTAAATAAGTAATAATAGTATTTAGATCTACACAAGACGATAATACTTCAATTATTGAATTTTTGTTACTGTGATTTCAAACTGCCTAAAATCGGTAACGTTCCTTTAACGTACATGAAGATCAGAACAAAATGATAAGGAGAGATAACAAAATGCGCTCGAACCTGTGGTAATAGTAAGATTTAAGATGACCGATAAAACCGATTAAATTTATTTTACGTAATGATGATTGAAGTACATGAAGACTCATGATTTCAAAGCTCATACAAAGCTATGTCAACAAAATCATTAAAATGTTTATAAATAATTAATTAAACCTTTCTTTACGAACTAGCACCTGTCAAACTAGAAACAGTCAAACTGAAAATTTATCAACGTACCATAAATGATCGAAAGTTGTGGTGTTGATTCGTGAACCAGAAAATCCTTAGGAATCGACGTTTCATCACTAGAGCCAAAAATGCATTGTAACAAATCATACCTTTTGAATATTTTTTCACAAATTCTAAAAGCCCTTTTTTGAGTACTTGCTAGTCTAAAAAAAAAAAAAATACCATATAGCTCAAGTACCAATCCTGAAGGGGCGTAAAATGCAACTGGTGCACTACTCGTAACGAGCAGTGTCAAACACGCGAGCAAAGTTTGTTCCTTAATTCACCCGCGCTCGCGGCTTACTAGCTCAAACTGAGGCTCAGCCCTTCCAGCAGCTTTTCATTATTCATCCCCGGCAGTCGGCATCCAAAAGCGAAAGTTACCCGCGCGAGCTTGACTCTCGTCATCCTTCCCCTTCGCTCGCGCCGAAGCTTACACGACTCGGCGAGCTTTTAATTGAGTTAGCAAAAGAGTTTTTACTTTCACACGCGTGTCGGTAACACAGAAGAGGATATATGGTCGTAGGTGTAAGTGGGAGGCACATTCGGTAGATATACAACTGTGCCCCTAATTAAGTTGATGAACTCCCTCGTGCGTAATTTTTTGCTTCTTTGAACGAAATCATTGGGCAAAAGTCATCGCAACAAGGGTAATTGCAATGTTTGAAGCACTTCGATATCTTCGCGTGACCAAAAAGCAATTAAAATTGCTCACTTCAATCTCATCGATTTATGGATGAGGAATAAGCTTAATGGCATTCTCAATTGTAAATGGAAAAATTTTGTTTGATTAAAGAACACAAGCATTAATATAATAATAATAACACCTGTCAAACAAGTAAGCCGATGAGATGCATCAAATAATCTCTCAAAAACTGTATGTGTTTTCATTTTCACATGTTTAGTGGTAAGTCAAGTTGTACAGTCAACATGTACAGATTTCCACGTTTCAAATGGTTTCTACAATCAATAGGACGTATCGAGTTTCACGTGTTATACGGTACCACACTACTGCATTGATTCAGCAATAGTATGGAACGGTATTGGGAAGACTTTGGGGAGAAAAAAAATATCCGGCGTTACTCGCAGAGCTTCCCACGAACGCCGGGACAAAAATCGATTCGGGAAGTGATATTGAATAATCGTAAGTCAATGGACCCACGAGCAATCCACTCCACTAAAAGTACTCCTTGCAAACGCTCATGTATAGGGTACCAGCAGAGACACGGAAAGTTCCATTGGGGATGGTAGTAGTAACTTTTGATTTCGCAGCGGCTGAAATTTTTTTTTTACTGAGCATTGCATTCGACCTCGTGGAAACTAAACAGTTGTGGGGAAATGATTAATAAAACAAATTTTTCGGCACATCAGAACCAAGCGGACCCGCCGAAATTCATCTGTAAATTGTTCGCAAGGACTTACATCTTCCTTCCCTTTTTTTGTTTTTCTTCTTTTTGCCAAAAACTGGGAGAGCGACGGTCGTAAGTTATCGCCGGAAGTGCGAAATGTCATTCGAGAGACTCTGGACGACAGCGTTGAAGAATCGCGATATTTGTTCCCTTTATCCCGCGAACGAGAAAAATCGGAGGGATTACGAAACGGGCGTCACTCACTGAAATTCTAAATGTCCTTTGGAAAAAAAAGGAAAAAAAGAATCGGTTCTCTCTTTAATCCTTCGTTCAACTTTTCAAGCGCTACGTGTACTCTGCGAGCACATCTCAAAAAAAAAATATATATATATGTTTCAACCAAGGCAACTTTGTCGTCCGCACTCTGTAGTAATAAACAGACGAGAAATAATAAAAAAAAAAAAAAAAGTAGAGCTGCCGGACCGAGTGCAAAATTAAATGGACTCTCTGAGGCACGTACACACATTTACCTCGCGTGCAACACGCGAACAGAGAAAGCCTTTACAAAATATCGATGATGGTAAAAAGCATCGCCATCGACACGTTCGATTACGCGCGAGCTGACGGGCAAAAAAAGTGAAGAGCCAGGGAAAAAAAAAGGCCGCCTGGGAAGTACATCGCAGTAGTGCTCGCAAATGGAGCTGACAATGGAAAAAAAAAAAAAAAAAGGATGAAACAGAGTACAGGAGTTGGCGTGCTACCGTGAAACGATGGACGAGGACGAGAGAACTTACTTTATACGTCCAAAATATTGCCGTCGAATTGGAGAAATTTTCCACTCGCTCCGCTGAGTTGTGCAAACATCCTACCCCGTTTGAGCTCCAGGTTTCACCTGCATACTGCCCCGAAAGAGTAAAAAAATTAATTAGCTGCTTGAATCCAACGCGAAAGTACTGGCAAGAAATGTAAACACTCGTTATTCCTTTCTTCGCCGCAAAATTATGCGGTGCTCCGTACACTTGTATACGCGTACAGTGACGGTATAAAATAAGTATCAATTTGCTTTTTCACGGAGATGAGGGCGAATCTTTTTTCTTTCTAATTACGTGGACACGTGTTGATTAACAATCCATCACGAAACCGTGATTGACAACATCAGTTTTGTGAAACAAGAGCCACGCAGGAAGTGAAATGAGTTATTAACCCCCCCCCCCCCTAAATCGATGCGCAGTGGCCCCGTGAAAATTTATTTCTTGGCGTTATCGGAATTCATCGACGACACGCACTCGCTTGTCGAAGGCCACGTGTATCCTCCTCGATGATTCAAATTGCGCTGGCGGTCC